TTAATACAACCACTATTCAAGTTTATGCACCAGCCTCTAATTCTAAAAATGAAGTAGTAATTGAAGAGTTTTATCAACTCTTGCAGTCTCAAATTGAGCAAACATGCAATCAAGATGCATTGATAATTACTATTGATTGGAATGCCAAAGTTATAAGCAAAGAGAATATTGTAAGACTTAATTATATTTGTTTTTTCAACAATTTAAACAAACTACATATGTGGTCCCTGCTGGATAGAATATACAGGCATCAAATCAACTACATGTGTGGAAAGAGACAAAAAAGGAGCTCAATATCACCAATCAGAACAAGTCAAAGGGTCAACTGTGGAGTAGACCATCAATAGACAAATTCAAGTTGAAGCTCAAGATAATTAAAACAGTCCTACCAGAGCCAAAGTAGGACGTTGAGTATATCCCACCTGAATTTAGAGGCCATATTAATGAGCTTTGGACATTAATTGAACAGTAACGACTAAAGACCAGATGAGTAATGAGAAAACAGCCAGGAGATCATCCATGAAGAATGCAAACACAGACTCAAAACTCACGGCCATTGAGTTGATTTCAGCGCATAGCAACCCTGTAAGACAGGGTAGGCCTGCCCTTGTGGGTTTCTGAGACCGTAACTCCTTATAGGAGGAGAAAACCTCATCTCTCTGCAAGGAGAGCTGATGGTTTCGAGATACTGACCTTGCATTAACAGGCCAACTCATAACCCACCAAGACAAGGAAAAAAACAGCCGAAATGAAGGTCAAAAGAGACTCTGAAATGGTCATAAATCTATAATTATTTCTTGAAAAGGAATAAATAATAAAGCAAAAGAGGGAAACGTAAGAACTCAAAGGATGACGCAAGAAGACAAATGGTTCTAATGAAATATGCAGAGACCTAGAGTTCGATCACCAGAAGGAAAGAGCACACTTGGCATTTCTTCAGCGGGAAGAACTGAAGAAAATAAGCCTTCAGTTGCGTTAGTGAGGGATTCTCTGGGCAAAAAAAGTTGAGTGACAGGAAGCAGAAAAGATGTAAAAAAGTCACAGCCACTGTACTTAAAAAAAAAAAAAGGTTAGCATTTAGCCATTTCAGGAGGTAGGACATGTGATCAAGAACCAATACAATTGGAGGCAGAAATCCAAGCTGCATTGGCAATGGAAATGTTTCAACAAATAGGATATTGGAAATGCTCACTTGTATATGCTAAGAAATTTGGAAGACAGCTACTTGACCAGCTGACTGGAAGAAGTCATATCTGTGCCCATTACATAGAAAGGTGTTCCAATGGAATGTGGAAATTATCAAACGCGGTAACTAATATCACATACAAGTAAAATTTTACTGAAGATAATTTTAAAAATGAGTACAGTAGTACATTAACAAGAACTGCCACAAATTGAGGTTGTAGTCAGAAAAGATATCATTACTGATGTTGGTAAACCTTGGCTAAAAGCAGAGAATACCAGAAAGATAATTGCATATGTTTTATTGACTCTGCAGAGGCATTCAGTTTTGTACATCACAACAAAGTATGGATAATATTGCAAAGAATTTAGTTTCCAGTCTGGAATAAGTTCACACACACCAAAGGGATACTTCCTTCATTCAGAATAAGGAAAGGTGTGTGTCCATGTTGTATCCTTTCACCATATTGAGCAAGTCATCCGAGAAGCCGAACGATAGGATGAAGGAGACATCTGCATTGGAGGGAGACTCAGGAACCTGCAGTAGATGACACCGCCTTGTTGCTGACATTGAAGAGTACTTGAAGGCCTAGCCGATGAAGATAGAGACGGCAGCTTCAGTATGCATTGCATGCCAGCATAAAGAAGACAAAACGCCTCACAATTGAGTCAACAATCAGTATCGTGACAGAGAAAGCACTGACGTTTCTGAGGATTTCGTTTTACTTGGATTCATAAGCAATGCCAGTAGAAGCAGCAGTTAAGAAATCAAGCAATGTATTCAATGGACAGACTTGCTGCGGAAGACCTCTTCAAAGAGTTAGAAAGCAAAGACAGCGCTTTGAGGACTAAGGTGTTCCTGATCCAAGCCGTGGTATTTAATTTGCTTTATATGCATACAAAAGCTGGACAAAGAATAAGAAAGACTAAAGATGTCTTTGACTTGTGCCTTTGAATTATGATGCCGGTAAATCATATTGAATATCCGAAGGACTGCAAGAAAAACAAACAATTTTGTCTTGGAAAAAATACAACCAGGATGCTCCTTAGAACAGAAGTTGCTAAGACTTCATCGATAAGCTTTGGACCTACTGTCAAACAAGACCAGCCTGGAGAATGACATCCTGTTTGGAAATGAAGAGGATCAATGAAAGGGAAAGACCCTTAGTAAGATTGATTGACAGTGTACCTGCAGCAGTTGGCTCAGACGTAACATTTGTGAGGTTGGCGTAGGACCAAGCCATGCTTTGTTCTGTTGGACATAGTGCTGCTGCAAGTTGTAGCGGACTCAACAGCATCTAACAACGCTGGAGGATTAGAACGAAGGGTCCTGTTCGCCTTTTTTTCTAATTTACCTGAGCCACAAGTAGGCGTATGTTACAGGGAGTCGACGTGAGGGTGTTTCCTGTCCCGGCAGAATGTATGCTTGATCTTGGGATGGGAATGTATACCATTTGGATGCTGAACAAGTCACTGTGGTAATTCTGATCATCAAACAACCCGTTGAGATGATTTCTTTTGCTTTTCAGCCACAGATCACAACAGCCCCAATCCTGTTTATCAGGTACAGATTGTGTCAAAAGTAAGACATACATTAATTACTAGTGGGGGAAAAAATCATTCAGAGATGAAAGATCATAATTGAAAACGATGTACAATGCATACTCCTAACAAATCTGTAAAAGCAAAATTCTGTGCCGCCCCATGACAGCATTTTCAGTGTCAGTTTTATCTGTATTTTTCCCATAATCTGTTTTTGAAGGTATAACTTTCTCATACTAACTACCTTAAATGTCAGTAGAGAACACATGGCCTTGGTCCATATACTGAATATACTGAAGATGCGCTTGTACTCATATGCTGTCTACTAAAATGTTGAAACTCGGGTTTAGAATCAGCTGTCTTCTGTCCTCGCCCTAAAACGTCTCAGATTCACCATCGGTGCCCTTGGAGCAGAAACTCTTTCCTTCCTGTGTCGTGGCAAGTGTGCCTCGAGTTGGTGCTGGTGCCCTGCTCTCTGTCATGTGTTTGTCGATAGAGTAGTTCTAAGAAAATACTGGTATTTTTTAGGGTGAAGGTTGAAACTGAATTAATATTTTGGAGGGCTAATAACAGTAATGATAAAAAGGAAAAGGTGTAAGTTTGAAAACTGAAGGATTACTTTATTACGGTGGCTTTTATGCAACTGCAGGAAAATAGCGATACTGTGTTAATTCAGCTTGTCTTAGCGCTTGTCTAAGCCATGTTTCTGATGTTTAAAGTTATCTATCAGGAAGGGAACTTTCGCCATGGGAGGAAATTAGAGATTTATGGCATTAGAAAGTTTACATTTAAGATTAAGGAAGATGTTCTTCAAACTGCGTATATTGTAATAAAAATAGAGATTGAGAATTTTTACTGAGAGAATGTTGATCAAAGCATTTCTGCCATCAGTCACCGTTGCCTGCTACCTGTGACGGGCTGAACCACTGTCCCTTTTTAGCAGATACCCACTTCAGAGCCCTTGATGGGCGCAGTAGCAGTGAAACACTTATTTTGGTCTCTTCCCTGGTAACAGGAGATGAAACTGAAGAAAACAGTGTGGACTAACGGATAGAGTATTGAAGCGGAGGTCCAGGACCTCTGCACTGTTCTTTTCCCAGCCTGTTACCAGGTGCCTCTGTAAACCTAGATAAGTCTGTTATACCCTTGATGTACCTCTTATATTTTTCAACTGTAACAGTGTCGGTAAAGACATTCTGCACGTGGGTCCCACAAAGATATTGTATAAAACAGCCTACTCTGAGAAAACTCACAGTATCTTTTGGTTAGAAAGATGCTATGTAACTAGGTTAACTTACATAGCTGTTCCTCTCCACGGCGCTCTTCCCTAGCCAGACGCTGTATGAGCTGGCACTTACAGTGCAGTACAAAACAGGTACCATTGCAGTAGACTTGACCTTGCCCCACAGCTAAGACTTGTGACTCTGCAGCCAGAATGCCTCCATTTGAATCCTTGGTTCACTTGCTGTGTTGCTTTGGGCAAGTTCATCACTAAAGACTCTCGTGTACAACGGGGATGGTGACAGCACCCCCCTGCCCCAACACACACAACACATACACACTAGATTGTAATGAGTCGTGAAGGTATTTATGTAAAGCACTACAAACGTTACATATAACACACTTAATGTGAGCGTGCAATTATTGTCGTTCTCTAGATCGAGCCTTACTTAGCATGGTGGAGACGGTAAAACCTCACTTAGGTCTTGGTTTTGTCTCTGCATCTGTTTCCAGAATGGCGAGTCATTCTCTCTCCCAAATGCCTCCCCCTCCCCTGCCACTCAGCATATCACCTGTAATAATCGAGGGTCACAGATGAGATAACAGAAATGGGTCTTTTAAATGAGTCTCTAAAACCGCCTGTGAACTGGAGAGTTGGGATTAATTTGTTAGCCGCTTTGTCTAGGTTATTGTGGAAAAACAAGTAAACTCAGAAAACATCACGAAGAAGTAGAAAAAGAGTTAGCAAATAAATGGGAATAATTTGAGCCCCTTATCTGCTTTCACCGTGATGTCCATCAGAAAAGTATTTTGCCTCGACCTCATAAAATATATCCGTTGCTCAGACATAGAGAAGTAGACCATTCAGATCTTTCAAAAATCTGGTCTCAAAATAGCTCTTTTTCAGGGTTAAAGATATGATGAGAATATAAAAGTTTGGGATTTGATGAGATTTATTGATTCGATTTTCCGTATGGGATTTCAAAGATGGAAAAAGCATCTGAGAGGTAATTATCTGTTTCATTGATCCCCCCCCCCTTTCTTTTTATTATTAGAACCAACCTACATCACAATTGATCCACCTGCCTGTGGGGAGCTATCAAACTGCACCCTGACAGAGAAGGACTGCACTTACGGCTTCAAACTTGATCACAATGGTTGTCGAATCTGTCATTGCAAAAACAGTGAGTATGCATGAGACTGCTTTTTTCTGAGGCCTAAGCATAAGCATATTACATGATTGAATATCTTTTTCACTCCTTTTAATGCCATCCCCTTGGCAACCTGAACGAAGAAGAAAAAGTATGCTTACACAAACACAGTTTGTGACACTAGAGCGGCACCTATTCTGGTTTTCGTGGTTGTTTCATTGTGTTGAGACGCTCCTTGGCGTCCAGCAGAGTCATGAGTACAGCCTGGAAGTGCATCTCCCAGCCTCCCCAGTCCTCTCCCTCCACAGCACCCTCACAAGAAGGTCATTATAGGATGTCACAGTCCACCTATGGCATCATTAGAGTTGTCTTCATTTTTTAATTTATTTTTGTCTTTGTATTTTAATCCAATTCTGTCTCGATGTAGAATACAATTGTATCTCCAAGCCATATCCTCTGAAAGTGGATAGGGTATGTTGCACTTCTTTTTGGAGGAAGAGAGAAAAAAGGTTCATGTTTAAGACCGTTTTGTATTCCCTTAATTCTTCTACCAAAATACCTTCCATCTCCTCTCACATAACTTCTGCCAGAATTGAGCATCTTGGCCATCCTTCAGATGACAATTTTTAGAACTTTCTTGATCTTTCCCATCTTCTAACTGATAAACATGCTGTCACTGTTGATACATGAAGATGTGACCCAGGAACAAAGGTAGCCTAAGTTCGTTGCTAATTCTTTGAAGAGCATGACTTTGGCTTCAGAGTTTGATAAGTAGGTAGAAGCAGCGAGTGCTTTAAGTGATTCACATTCATTCTGTATTTGAACACTTAAAAAAAGTAATGTAAATGTAAGACTCACAGGAAGTCAGCTTGGTAGTTTTAAACCCTTTACCAACTGGTGGTATATTTTTTGAATTTTGATAAATGACGTCATACTTTACCTGTGCCTCCCAGTTTATATTGAATAAGCACCCTTTGTATGTCCTCATGTAAATCACTGAATTAAAAGTAATAATACTCCCGACGCAACCAAAGACCGAGCCCGGTAGCCCTTCAGGCTTTCCTGCAAAGTGGCACAGAGCTGAAGATAGCTGATAAGCTTCACCCCTTGACGTCAGCAACATCGCTATTTGGTCTGCCTTAGCTGAAATCAAAACACATACAATATACATACACTGTTACTTCCCTGGAGACCCTGTTTTACAGGTAAAAGGGGAATCTCAGGCTGTGCCTTTGAACCGGTGCTGGCTTATAGTGGTGGCCAACGCTTTCTTTTCCAAGTGTCACAAATCGTAATGCTGTGTTGTCTCATAACAGTCCAAAATTGTTCATCAATTCTGAAAATTTTTCGTTACAAAGACCAAGCAGATTCTCCGTGGGCATCTGTCGGGTCAGCTCAGGAAGGACAGTGTAGATAAGGCATTCATGTTCTCATCTACCAGGAATCTCAAGCTTTACATTCCTCTGACCTTAATTGTCACCAATTTTCTTTCATTAGAATGTATGTGAGCATGCGGACTAGCACAGAACAGGCATTGAGTAATTTTCTCAGTTACAGGTGGCCAGCAGACAGACCCTCTGTCCCACAGAGTTACTGCTAACGTAGTCTAGATAAAGTGTTGCTCTGCTGGTTATCTGTGGCCATCTCTCCATCTCCCATGAATCCATCTGGGTCTGTCTGCCTTCCTGATACTTGCTGTTTAGAGGAGGGTAAGTCCTTTCTATGGTCTGTTCTGCCTTTTGTCGGGGGAAAAATGAAGAAAATATGCGTTGAGGTGAATGGACTCAGACAACCCATAGTCCTGAAGATAACAGGAGACTGCAGCGGTTCATTCCCTTACGCATCAGGCCGTGTGCGTGAGTGAGAGCAGACAACAACAACTCAGGACAGTCTTTTGGAAACCGGAGGGGGCTGGGCTACACATCCTATTGGGGGCTCATACAACTCTTAGCACAATCCATACATACATCCATTGAAACACATCCTTTCTGATCTTGGGATCATACCTAAAATGCTAAAACCTTTTCACTGGAATTTAGGTGAACGTGTGCAGAGCAGATTAATTTTATAAGCAGCCAATTGTTTTCAACTCCACTGTCTCCTCAGTGAATCATCGCATATCCCACTTTGTCCCAGTGTTTCCTGCTTCCATTCCCCCTCATCTGCCAGCCTCTGTCCCAGGGTAGATGCCCCGGGACAGTTAAATCTTAACTGGCGGATTATTCCAGCATGGGGGGAGTTCAGTTCCATCCCTGAAGGGTGTCTTGGAGCTTCACCCGTCTATCCAACCAATGAGCCAGGGCTCTTTTACGACTTTGCGTTCTGTTCCATATGTGTCCCCCAACGCTTTCTGGGACCTTCTGAGGTGACCCTGTTAGAGCCGTTGACCTACCTAACTTCTTGCCTCAACTCTGTGAAGTTGGAAAATACAGATTTTGTGGCGCATGGTCACCTCCCCATCTCGTTCGTGCTCTGCTAGATACGCTACGTGGTACTGTAGGACAACTGACACCGTGCCTTGATTCTTCTGTATTTAAGATCTCCCTGAATTGTCATTAAAGCAAGTCAGATGGTTACCACTGGACTTTGGCGAATTGCCACTGTGAGCAGCATCCTGTTCTGCCCTGCCTTTGCCTTAATGTCATATTCTGGCTTTTTAACGTGAGCTCGGCATCTGTTCTCCCTGGCCTGACGGCCTTGCTGCAGCACCGCCACACTCATGGGTTGGGGGTGGGGTGGGGGGAGAGTGGCGCAATACACATGACCTGTGATTTGTACAATTTTTTTTACATGTAGATCTTTATGACCCATGCATTATTTGTAAAGCTTTCTTCTGTTTATGGCTATTCAGCCTTTCTTTGTTCTCTCCTCCCAGAGTTCTTCCTTCAGCTAATGCTAATAGAGTGTCTGCCAAGTACTAAGTATTGGGTACCTGCTAGCAGATATGTGCTAGGAAAACGAGCAGGGAGCCCTTCCTGACTCCTTGGGGAGCGGGAATGCCTTTCTTCTCTGAGAAGCCCCTTCGAGGTCTCAGTGTCCTGACCTGATGTCTCTCTCTGTCGCACAGAGTTTTCACTCACTGTCACCCTAGTCCTGGAAACAACCAAACACTGGTATTTCCCATTTGTCTCTGTCAATCAGAGTCGGCCACCGAGCTTTAGTGTTCTCAGGGCCCCTCCTATGAGCAACCCTCCTCATCCTACTGCCAGCACCTTTGGAAGCCCTCAGGGAGAGGCTCCCCCTTGAGCTCCAGAGCCTGGGGAGTCACAGTCCCCACAGCTCTCCCCTCTGGCTCTGGCGTCAGCCTGTCCTGGACCTGGATGATCGATCGGACAAGAAACTCCTGGAGCCCCCTGCATAAAGGACAGGTGATAGAACCCAATCCCTGAGTCAATAAATTAATGAAAGCAAAGCTAGCTTCCCTTAACCTGGCATGTGGTGGTTGTTTACTACACCATAAATGTTTTATAAAAATCCATTTCTGAGTCAGCCCATGCTGCTGACTAGCATGGAAACCCTCCCGCTCCCTTCCCCTCCTTTGTTCCTGCACCAGCCTGGCTCCGGCAATTCCGGCCCTCCGAGGACTCTCTCCCCTGTCAGTGTGGCGCTCCTGTGTTCTCTTCCTCCTTCCTTGGTAAGAAGAGAAAAGAATGTCCCTGGAACCAAAGATAGCATAACGTGTTCTTTGCTCATTGCGGCTGCATGCTAAGTATTGGTTTTGTCCAAACGTCTCCCTTACATGACTCTCCATCTCACCGATGCCTGATTTTCAAGCTTTGCCGCAGTTGTTTGTTCCTCAGTGTTCTCTTTAAAGAATAAACCTCATTCCGCTGACAGCAAGATTTCTTACAGACCAGCCCCCAAATGTTTGCTTATTGGTTTGTTGTTTGTTCGTTCACGTAACCTCTCATTAATCTAGTATCTGTTAATATGCCAACGATGAGGGATACAAATATGAGAAAAATGATCCTTACCCTTGACTAACACCAGTAATATGTTCATCATATACTAACACGTTGTCATGATATTGCAACAGTCTAGCATATTACAGATAATCACTTTAAGATGGAAATCAGAAGCCTGTAGAAACACGTCCTTCAAAAGCATCTGGCCAGAATATGACAAAGGATTCTTTTGTTTGAACATAGTGTAGCTTTGCTATTTTAACCGGTAATAAATTATATTCTTGAAGCACAGTTAAGCAAAGTAAGGCATCAAGGGCACACAGTGAATTTAAATTATTCCTGCTTTACTTTCTTAAAGATGTATTTAGAATTAAAAAAATAATTATAGCAGAAGCTGTTTAAGACAGTGCTATATTAACAAAATGAAAATCATTTAATAAGCTACTAATAAACAACCCTGGTGGCTAGTGGTGGCGAGTTGGGCTGTGATCCACTTGGTCAGCAGCTAAAGACTGGGCTTTCTGCTCCAGTCATCAATGACAGCCTCGGAATCCCCAGCGGATCGCATTGAGTCAGCCTTGACTCAACGGGCAGTGAACTTTTTGTTTTGTCTGTTTGTTCTGTTTACAATCTCTTACTGATTAACCAGAAGTATTTGGTGCGGTGAAACAGACACAATTCTCTCCAACTTACTATGCTTGCATAAATTCTGAGTATTAAGTGAGATGGATATGAATCAACTGGCATCTGATTGTTTACATCTTTACATCAAATGGATTTAGCTAGATTATTTGCAACTTCTCTTCGGGCTTTACCATTACGTAGTTCTCAGAATGCATCATGCTGTTACATAGAAACTGGTACATAGGTATCATTAATGGGGATAACAGGGCACCAGGAAATGCAAACACAAAGAAAGCATCTAAAAATGGGCTCATTGTCAACTAGGGAGAGGGGCTTCTTGTTTTTATTCTATTGTAACTCCGACCTGACACCTGTCAGGCCCAAGATTGAGCCACTATTTGCAAGATTGCCTTTCTGTATCAGATAGTCTCAGAGACCTCCTGGTAGCAGGCTGGTGTCAATGGCCATTGTCCAGGAGCGAGAAGTACTGTAGCAGAGAAGTGAGTGTACAGCACCACCGAGGAGCGCTAACCCCGTGTGTTCTCTACAGAAGAGCCAAAGGTCACTGAGAGTGGATTTTGTGCTCCATTTTCTCTCTGGGAGCAATCTCGCTTTCTCCAACGTGAGCAGTCCATTTGCTGTGCAATTACCATGACCCCACCATAATGCCCGGGCCTGATAGCTTGCTATTATTTGTCACTTTCTCTTCTATGATAATTCCCCCGTGGACGACAGCATGTCTTTAGCTCGTCGTGCACTCAGAATGGTGAAGAATTACAAATGTAAAGCCACCGTTCTTTTCCACGGTTGGCCTCTGCCCTTCTCTGGGTAAAGTATTGCTGACTCATCTGTTACGTTCTGTATTTAAGTGTTCACCTTGATGATGCATTTCTCTTGAGAAAAATCCATAATCTCGAGGTACCTTCCAGTATTTAATATTCTCCATTCCTAAACCACAGTAACACTGATACTGCGGTTAAGTGCTCAGCGCTAACCAGAAGATCAGCACTTCAAGCTTGCCTCGGTTCTGCAAGTGAAAGCAGTGTCTGTCGCTTCTGTGAAGGTCACAGCCTTGGAAGCCCTCTGAAGGGTTGTACTCGATCCCAGAGGGGTAATGAGTCAGAATCGACTCATTAGCAATGAGTTTACTCCTGAACTAGAAGATTGCCTTGGCCCGTGGCTGTCAAGTGCATTCTGACTCATGGTGACAGAGTAGAATGACTCCTTCGGGGTTTCTAGGCTCTATCTTTATGAAAGCATATCAGCAGATATTTATTTTGCAGCACCACTGGTTGGTTTTGAACCACCAACCTTTGGGTTTGTTGTTATCATTAGGTGCTAGCCAGTTACTCCTACTCATAGAGATCCAGTGTATTAAAGAACAAAGCACTCTACGGCACTAGACCATCCTCACAGTCATTGCTGTGTGTGAGCCCGTTCTTGCAGCCACAGCATCTTCCTCTCTCCTTGAAGGTCTTCCTCGTTTTCACTGACTCAACCAGCATGATACCCTTCTCCAAGAACTGACTCCTCCAGGCAACATATCCAAGAAGCACTTTGGCTCTGCTTCACTTTCCAGGGCCTCCTGCCGCACACCGGGGTCGTGACAGTTGTTGTTGGGTGCCGTCAGTTGATTGTAACTCATAGCCACCCTCACTGAACTAAGAGTATATTTTGCAATGCTTAATGCATGTCACTGCTTTGGAACAGACGGCACCCTTGATAGGAGCAGAGGAGTAAAGAGCAAGAACATTGATTAATTCATTCACTCAGCACATTTTATTGAGTACTCATTCCATGCATCAATCAAGAAAACCAGGTCCCACCTTAGTGCCCCTTTGGCTGGGAAGCAGAATCCAGATAGACCCCGACTGTAGCACGGTGTGCACGAGAGCCCTTCTGAGTCGGGCATGTTCGGACTCTCCCCTCTGGGGTACAGCGGCTGCTGCCTGATGTGTAGCCTTCATTTGTATTTTCCCCTGGTGTTCTAATGCTTGTCCATTTTTGGAAACAGTTTTATTGGCACTTACTCCACATATCACACAATCAAATATCTCAATCCTATCAAGAAGAGTTGTACAGTCATCACCACAATCAATTTTAGAATATTTCCCCCCACCCCATGGTTAATTTTTTTCCTCTTGACTGTCCCCATGCTTTCAGCACAGAGCCATCCACGTGAAGAACAACCACGTTTCCTAAGCTTGACTTTATTCTCAGCTCACCACTGGGCTGCACCAGCCAACAGAGAATGGTCAGGTTCAATGACGGGTGGCTGGAAAAATCATTACTAAAATGAGTATGTAATCATCATAGATTCATGCTCCCTCCCACATACATTGTTTGTTCCCCTCACCCTCCCTATCTCCCCTATAAACCCCTTCAACTGTTCTTATCTCTAAACACCTACTCCTTTTGTGTGCCACAAACTAGGAAACCCAACAGAAATAATAAAATGATGAGGATAAAATAATAATAAAGGGATAAAAATACAAATAATGAACGAGAAAGAAAAGACCACCATGGACATTTAAAAGGCCAGGGAGGGCATTTTTGTCATGGAGTCAATAAGATATAGTTGCACCCAGAACAATTCCAGGTTGGGTCAGAAGGGAGGTCACTGACCAAGTACCCAGTTCCATCCAGTCCAATCGTGCTTACAGTAATCTCTATCTGATAATAAAGCTGTTCGAGACCCTTGCCTGTGGCTCGAGGGGATCTGCCAGAGGCTTAATGTGACTGGACACTCTGCAGATGGGTTTGGCGCTCCCACTGGCCTCTACAGCCTTCTACATGTTGGATATTTTCAATTTGTGCTCTGATACTTTTCCCTTCATCATACTTGAATTTTGTTATTGCCCTCTTTGGATCACACAAGCTGGTGTGCTTCTTCCGTGTGGACTTAGTTGACTTCTTGCTTAGATGGCTGCTTGTTTGAATACAAGACTTTAAGACCCCAGACACTATTCCAGTTGATAACCGGGCACCATCTGATTTTTTCACCACACTTTGCTGTAGCACCCTTCTCTTCAGTGATCATTACAAGAGGGGGAGTATGGAGCAGGGCCATGTTATCAGAACTAACTGTTCTTGGATTGGGGTTAGAGTTCATTGGGGGCCCAGAATCCATCTGCTTTATCCCTAGGATGTGCATGACTCCGATTTACTTTGGCGGTAGTGTCATGGCGTGCCCTGTGTTTTAACCTAGCAGCCTGTGTTTGAACTTCTTTCATTGCAAAGCAAGGGGGGCAGTTACAGACAAGACAAATTCTTATCAAATTGTTTGCATTTGAATAGTAGATACAATAACTTTTCTTAGGTCTATGGAAGGCTTTTTTCTTCTTCTTTTGAAACAGTCTCATAACAATAAAAGCACCAAGTGACCTCAGAGTGCGGAGTTTCCAGGAATTTGGTTTCTGGGGTGCTGACTCTGGGATGTGCCTGAGTGTTTCTGACCTGTCAGCTCCCCAGCATAATCCCCTGGGCATCATGACTTAAAAATGTGTCCAAGAGGGACTGGGTTCACAAGGTACCCTGCCTCTGGACATCTTCTCCCTCCCTCCTCATTCCTTCAGTAGCAGGAAAGAGATGAAAAATGATGACCTTTCAAGTCAGATAATTACAAATTTTTAAACGAGCCATTTAAAATTTCACTTTTAAGGATGCAAATTAGTAATCAGTTGCTTCACAGTGTGATACAGACCCACGAGGTTATATTAAATATGTGTAATGAAAGGTTTATGATAATGACAAAGTAGAAAATTATACCATAAATCAGTTTCCTTTTTAAAAGAGAGTAAATTAAATATTCAAGTATTGCCAGCTTGGATTCACAAAAGATGCTATCCTAAGATATGTATGTGAAACAGAAACTCATTCCACCTATTAACTATAGTTAACGGCTCAATTTTAGATTGTAAGATTTATGTGAGGCAGGGGCAAGTGTGTTCTGGTTTTCCTAACACTGTTTGCATTATTTATGGTATCTTTGCCTAAAGGATATGAAAATAATATTAAAAGTCATTTATTATTCCAACAGTAAAAGTCTTCACTTCCTGTCTTACCAGTCCATGCAGGACAGTAAGCACACATTGCTGTAGGTCAGCCATCACCTTATCAGCTCCTCGCCTTCTTGAAACTTGGTTGTCTTTACAATGGTGCATTTAACGCAGACACATCTCAACTTGCTTTGCCTTAACAGTTTTATATTCTCTAATGCCGTTAAATCCTATATCGCCCCCACTGAAAATCATTTTAGCAGACTTGTAGTACACGGATATCTCCACCACTGCCTTTCCCAGCCCCATTGCCTCTCTCCTTCTTTCCCCTTGTAAAATAAGTTATGTCTGACGAACAGAGTACAGCTACACATCACTCACTCTAGATCCTGCCAACAGGGAACACTGAACATTTTGAATAGTGGAGAATTAAACATTACTCTGGATCTTTCTTTGACACGTACATTTTTTAGTCAATTGAGCACCAGCATCCAGATACTGGGATAGTTGTTGGCATGGAGGAGGAACTACCTGAATGGAACACTTTCTCTCATGCTGTGGAGATGAACTTTAGAAAGCAGGGATGGGAACCTGTTTCTGCCAAAGGCCATTTGGATATGTATGACATTATTTATGGGCCATACAAAATCACCATCTTAAAAATTAGTCTGCTCGGTTATCAAAAAGATACAGCGTCTGGGGTCTTAAAGCCTTGAAGATAAGCAAGTGGCCATCCAGCTGAGAAGCATCAAAGCCCACA